CCAAAATCCACCCCAAAATCCACCCCAAAATCCCCAAATTCACCAAATTCCTCAAAATTCCCCTAAAATAGCCCAAAATCCCCAAAATCCACCCCAAAAATACCCCCAAATCCACGCCAAAATCCCAAAAAAAATCTTCCAAAGTCTACCCCAAAATTCCCCAAAATCCGCTCCAAAATACCCCTAATCTACCAAAATTCCCAAAAAATTCCCCCAAACCCCCAAATTCACCAAATTCCCCAAAATTCCCCAAATTGCCCCAAAATCCACCCCAAAATCCCCAAAAAAATCCTCCAAAATCCACCCCAAAATTCACCAAAAATCCCCCAAACTCCCCAAATATACCCCAAAATCCACCCCAAAATCCACCCCAAAATCCCAAAATTACCCCAAAATCCATCCCAAAATCCACCCCAAAATCCACCCCAAAATCCCAAAATTCATCCCAAAATCCATCCCAAAATCCATCCCAAAATCCACCCCAAAATTCCCCAAAATCCAAACCAAAATCCCCAAAAAATCCTCCAAAATATACCCCAAAATTTCCCAAAATCCACCCCAAAATCCACTCCAAAATACCTCAAATTCACCAAAATCCCCCAAATTCACCCAAATCTCTCAAAAATACCCCAAAATCCCCCCGAAATTCTTCCCAAAATCGCCCAAATTCCCCCAAAATTCCCAATTTTCCCCCCAAAATTCCCAAATTTCTCCAATTTTGGGACCCGCGGGTTCGGGGTGGGCGTGGCCTGGGCGGTGATTGACAGGCGGGGGAATTTTGGGGATTTTTGGGGAAATTTTGGGAATTTTGGGGAAATTTTGGGAGAATTTTTTGGGAATTTTGGAGGGATTTAGGATTTTGGGAAATTTGGAGGAAATTTGGGGATTTTTGGTGGGAATTTTGAGTGAAATTTGGGGAATTTTGGGGGAAATTTTGGGGGCATTTTGGAGGGATTTGGGATTTTGGGGAATTTGGGAATTTTGCAGAATTTTTGGGAGAATTTTGGGGAATTTTGGGTGGAATTTTGGGTGGATTTTTGGGGGCAATTTGGGAATTTTGGGTGGCATTTAAGAGGAATTTTTAGGGGGAATACGGGGAGTTTTTATTGGAATTTTGAGTGGAAATTTGGGTATTTTAAGGGCAATTTGGGGATTTTTTTTGGGAATTTTTTGGGAGAATTTGGGGAATTTTCTGGGGGAATTTTGGGACGTTTTTAGGGAGTTTTTTGGGGAATTTTGAGTGGAATATTGGTAATTTTAAGGGAATTTTGAGGGGAATTTTGGTACTTTTTTTTTTTAATTTTGAGGGGAATTTTGGGGCTTTTTTCGGGAATTTTTTTGGGGGAATTTTGGGTGGAATTTTGGCTGGAATTTGGGGGATTTTGGCCCTTTCTGACCCGTTTTTTTGGCAGTTTGCAGCTTCGTGGTTCACAAACGCTGCCACGAATTCGTCACCTTCGAATGTCCCGGCGCCGGGAAGGGACCCCAGACCGACGTGAGTCCCAAATTCCCAAAACATTCCCAAAATTCCCACAAAATCCCCCAAAAATTCTCCAAAAAATTCCCACAAAAACCCCCCAAATCCTCACAAAAATCCCCCAAAAAATCCCTCCAAAATCCCCAAAAATTCCATAAAAATTCGCCTTAAAATTCCCTCAAAATTCCCAAAAATTCCCCCCAAATCCCTGAAAAATTCCCCCAAAATTCCCCAAAAATTACCTAAATATTCCCCTTAAAATTCCTTTAAAATCCCCAAAAAATCCCCCAAAATCCCCCAAAAATTCCCAAAATTTCACCCAAAAATCCCCCAAAAATCCCCCTTAAAATTCCCCAAAAATTCCCCCCAAAAATCTCCACAAATTTCCCCAAAATCCCCCCAAAAATCCCCACAAAAATCGCCAAAAATCCCACAAAATCCCCCCAAAATTCCCCTTAAAATTCCCTAAAAATTCCCCAAAATTCCCCAAAAATTCTCCAAAAGTCCCCACAAAAACCCCCTCAAAAATCCCCACAAAAGTCTCCCAAAAATTCCTCAAAAATCCCCCAAAAATTCCCAAAAATCCCCTCAAAAATTCTCCCAAGAATCCCCACCAAAAAAACCCAAAAAATTCCCAAAAATCCCCCAAAAATTCCCCTTAAAATTGCCTCAAAATTCCCAAAAATTCCCAAAATCCCCCCCAAAATCCCCACAAAAATCCCTGGAAAATTCCCCTCAAAATTCCCAAAAATTCCCTAAAAATTTGCCTTAAAATTCCCCAAAAATCCCCTCAAAAATTCCCCCAAAATTCCCCCAAAATTTCCCCAAAATTCCACTTAAAATCCTCATTTTTTCACCCAAAATCCCCATTTTGTCACCCAAAACCTCCGGATTTTTTCCCGAAATTTTGTGAATTCTCCCCAGAATTTGGGAAGTTTTCCTAAAATTTGGGAATTCTCCCAAATTTCCCCAAAATTCACCCAATTTAACCCCCAAAAATCCCACACAAAATCCCCATTTTTGGGCCAAAAATCCCCATTTTTTCACCCCAAATCCCCATTTTTTCCCCCAAAACCTCCGGGTTTTTTTCCCAAAATTTTGGGAATTTCACCCAAAATTTGAGAAGTCAC